ACTAAAAAATTTTAAATAAAAAATATATTTATTATTATGGGAGAATAACAGTAGTAAGTACTAACGGAAAGTAAAAATTAAATGTTCCAATAAAAAGGGCAAATCTACTTTTCCAGGCTCTGCCCGCATGATCGTATTAGTTAACAAATTATTTAATTATCAATTAAGAAATAATTAATACATGAACTAGTATAGTATCTGAAAATTTAATTAACTTAAACTACTATTAAAGGGGAAAATGATAGGTAAAATTATATGTTAACCCTCTGAACTATTTAGATTAGTTATTAAACCCACATACTTTAATTGATATATATAAACCTTTAAACTCTACGATCTAAGTAATTTAGTTCTTAATTCTTTATCTATCCGTAAAAATAAGGACTAAATTGCCATAAGAATAAGTGCTAAACTGTTCAGATCGTGCTTATACACATCAATTAAAGTTTGAGGCTGAATAGTAAATCTGGGATTAGTTCAGGGTTCAGGGGCTTAAGATATGATTTTGCCAAAAAAGATACATACGTGCAAGAGTCGCCGACGTTGCCGCCGCATTGGTGGAACGACATCACGGCTTGGACCTTGAGCCCGTGCTTCTTAGCCATCTCAAGCAGCTCCGCGTAGCCTCCCCAATTATAGACGCCCGGCGAATCTCTCTCCACCAGTCCCCACCACACGTCCATCATCACCCCTTCCACCCCCGCACTCTTCAACGCCTGCAAACTCGCATTCATCGCCTTCCTCCTGTTCACCGTGTTGTTCATCGTCACGCTGTCTAGCGGCATCATCACGTAAACCGGCACTCCCCCATTAGCCTGCTCCTTCTTCTTCCCTCCCGCCGCATAAGCCGTCTCCTCTTCGGTCACCATCGCCGCCGGTGCGTCCAACGTAAACGCGCTGCACGCCACGGAGAGATCTGGCCTCGTCGCGTTCAATACTGGCGACCTGCTGAGTGGACTTAGCGGCGGAGATAGCATAGTTGGGGAAACGATGCCCGCCGAAGACTTGCACATAATACTCGCCACCGGCGATTTCCAAACCGCCGACGCATTCACCATCGCAACCACTGGTTCGGCGCTTGACGAATCCGTCGAGATTGGAGTTCCCGCGAGTGTTCCGATCTGGTGAGCCATATTCAATGCCATCAATGGTTTGTTCAGTTTTTTTTTTTTCTCGGGAAAATGACAGAAAATCTGTAGAAAAAAAGGGAAACTAGAAAGTTCAAATTCAAAAGAAATTTTTCTTTCTGCGTAAAGAGCTTGTGATACGGAAATGTGAGGGAGAGAATTGCCGAGCGATGAGGTCGGTATAAATAAGGTCGAAAACTAGGGACCAGATAAGATTAATTTAATCTTGGATTAACCGTCAGGTTCACGACACGTGTCCTTACTTCCACGTGGCGAAAGATATGCTGCGGATAAGGCAACGGCTACGATGGCTCGAATCCCCGTGACGATGGACGGTGGGATGTTTACGCGTGTGGAGGTTCCATCAATTTAGCAAGCCGGTGGGTTTGAATAATCTCTTAATAAGCCCCTTAAGCTTTTGCAGTATTGCCAATTTGAATGCGTATAGCTTTTTAGTTACAAAACAGCCCTTAAACTAAATAAATTGCCTTAGATGTAAAGTACCCCATGTTCAAGATTTATGTTGAGAAAAAGATAAACATCGAGATATAGAAATTGAAAAATTAATAGTTATGTGCAATATTGCCAATATATGACTTTTGTATATAAGTAGACTTGGTAAATAATTAGGTTTAGTTTTTTTTTTTTTTTTTTACATCTAAATGAGTTATATAAGAAAAAATAATATTCTTCTTTTTTAAAATCCCTCGTCGCCTAACTCAATATTCAAAATTGAGATCTTTAACTTATAATCTCAAATTCTTAATTATTGAACTACCTATTAAAATTAATAATTAGGTTTAGTTGGTTGAGGGTCAAGTCATTGCAAAAAGCAAATCATGAGTTATGTGGACTGGATATCACAATGGGTTACATGTGGCTTAGAAAAGACCAACGTTAATAATGCCATGGCAAGTTAAAGTCAACTTACAAGTTGACTAGCTAGTTTTTTTTTTTTTTTTACTTTTTAATTTAACAAAAATATTGAAATAATTCATTAGAAAATTTTAAAAAAATTTATAACCTCATGCTCATATAGAGAAAATTAAAAAAAAAAGAGACAAAATTCCAAAAAAAAAAGCTTGAAAAGGTGAAAATAAAAACAATGTTGCAAAGTAAAAATTTGAGACCATCCAACAAAGTAATTAAAATAACACCACATTAACAAGACATAGATAAAAAGCTTACAAAGTAAGAAATGTGTATATAATTTAGCAAAAATTATAAATTACATAGAAATAATTATAGAAACAATAAAAGGAAAGAGCCAATTCAAATATGACTCTCTATCTTTCTAAAATCTTTACCCATATATGGAAAAGCAAAGAAGAAGCTGGCAACTTGTTAATGCTAGAAACCAAGAAAAAAAATATATCAAACCAATTGGATGTACGCAAAAACCTCAACAAAAAAAAAATGTTAAAAAGCTAGGACATCAGTTAGAGCAGGGGAAATGGTGTGGCAAGACAAAGAGACAAGGAAGAGATTAAGAGGCAAAGAAGAGACGACTCAAAGCAAAAAGTCATGATGATGGCAAAAGAATCTAATGTGCAATGCAAACACTGCATCGCATTTTTAGATTTTGATTTTAAGCCTTTTGCTAATGATGAGTTGATAAGTTAAATTGATTAATTCATACCATAACTTATTAAACAAATAAAATTAAAACGATTTACAAGTCATGAAGGCCAAACTCACAACCAAATTTAATAGATAGACTAAGTCAAGTTGGCAAGTTGAGTTGATTTTTGCATTGTTTGGGCAGATGCTTGGCCATACTCGATATGTGACTTTTGCTGTCCATTTTAGTTGAAACTTTCCAAGTTGAAAAGTTACGGGGTCGATTTGCCAACAAAACATTGTAATTTGTAGGGGCTTAATTGCTAATGGTAAAGAAGATGGAGGACTATTGTGGCCTTTAGTTAAAAGGGATGACCAATGAGGTGACGACACGTGTATGAATAACTGGTCACGTGTCCAAACCTCTGGCCTTACGACATGATGTAGATTTTTAGTCTACGGTTTTTTTTTTTTTAATGTTTTATTAATATGACCGACAATCCATCGATATGAATAAAAAAAATTGAGTTTCTTGTAATTAAGATTTAATATAATTATTAAATATTAAAATATTAATTTAAAAAATATTATATTGATGTGTTTATAATTT